CTTATGGAGACTAAGTATGCACTGCATTTTTTTTTTTTGAATATATAAGATGTTTTTTTTAAACTCAAAAATTAATTTTTCCTGATAATAGACAATTAGTGAAACCACGTTCCGTAGAACGTACAACACGCAAAACGTAGAAAAAACGGTTATATCTATGGAAACATAGAAAATACAGTGTCCCTATTGGCGATTGTGTATGTTAACGTAAAATACGTTGTACGGAACGTAATTTCGCTAATTGTCTAATGTAACATCCATAATCGTATACATACATATAAATATTTATCGATTAAGTTTGCTTCGTATCAGAATATTCATTTGCTATCTAGATAAAAGTCTCGAATTATGAATATTTTTCGTGAAGCGCGTCGCGTAAATTTGGCATTTAACACATATTTCTAAGTAGTTTTTTATTCCAGTGAAGCGGAAAGTGCACAGTAACATTGATTATGTAAACATTTAAAACTAATCTGTTCCGTTTAAAAAGGATAAACATAATACATAAAAAAATCTCCAACAAGCTATGTTTGTTAACAAAGCAGCTTGCGTTGAACAGAAACAGAAGGATAACGTTGCTAAATTAAGTCATCTTCTTCAAACAGTTTGCACCTAATACAATCACTAAATTTTAAATTAGCCTAATCTACTGAAAGATCCGATAATCTTCGCGTATTAACCTCCATGTTTACCAACTAACGTGAGTAGGTCGAAATTACTCTCTGTGCAGATGCTGCAATGCGGTTTTTAGAACGCAGATCCCGCTCTATAATGGAATTAAGATTGGACAGGCTGTATTGAAGGAAGAATAGACCCGCCCACAGTAAGATTTAAAAACTAGAAAGGTGCATTATTGATATAATCAAGCGCTACTGCTGCGTAAACAACCTACGCACTGCGTAGACACCGATCTCTAAGCCTTACATTACTGTCCATTTCGATCTAATGACTTCGGTAATTACTTCTCCACAATTAGATATTAATCTGATTCATGCAAATTATAGTAAGACTGTGCTAACAAACAAACCCGACGTAGTTAACCTGTCGACAACTGTAATTTAGTATCTCTGTTTTCTGGATTTTTGAATGAAATCAACTGCTGACATTTAGGACGAATGGGATCGTGTACCATTAAATAACTTGTCCACTCAAGTCAATGTTTTCCGGATTGGTGGAGCTGGTTTCATCTTAATCTTTCCAAAAATGATACACCGCAAGAATTTAAATTGGCTACATTAAAACCGAGATAATTCGTAAGAGGCATGTATGTAAGGAGAATTGGCGGGAAAACGTCAGAAGTCGGAAATGTTTACGATGTTATTTTAAAACATGCGGGTCTTCTTGAGTTATTGCCAACGATAATTAATTGTCGTCAAGGAAAATTGATTGCGACAACTTTGTACCCACCTGAAGAATTGCTGTTAAATGTCACTGAAGTGAGTAAGGCGGCCGGCCGGCTTGGTTGTGTCTGTTACTTACAGGATTAAGTACGCGAGATTTTAAAGCTATTTTTTTTGCAGTTCTACTTCTGTATTTGATAGACTTTTGTGTTCGCAGGTTCACTACTTAGGTAATGTTGTGAAAGGGCCGTGAGTAGACAAGTGAACAATAAAAATAAATCGATGAGAAACACATCACATCAGATTAAACTTTTAGTGGGAAAAATAGAAATCCTGCCTTATGTTAAATAACAATAGAAAAATGAAAGTAAAACACAAAAAATCTTGCTCAAAAAAGTTGCCTGAAGTCCATTTATTTTTATTTGAATTTATCTATTTTGTCTGTCGCTTACACTTATGAACTATACATTGATACATAACAAGTACGCCAGTCACAATGAAGTAGAAAAGAAGTGTGGAAAATATTATTATTTTAAACAATTATGCTATAATTTAAATGTGGATATGCTAATAAGTAATCACTAATCAACACGTAACAGGGCATATTTAAATAATTCGATTATAATCCCAAGATCACATTGCAAGTAGAATGTAATTTTTTTAATACAGTAATTGTCCAGTTCATGATCCACACTGTTTTTAAATAAGTAAAGTTCTTTTCTAAGGATAAAAGTGTTTGTCCTGATTCACCAACGCACCAACGAATCTTAACTAGTAATACTGTATCTAGAAACATGAAATTTGGATAGTAGGTTCCTCTTGTAATTAAACACCCACTAAGGAAGGAGTTTGGGAAAAAATTCAACCCCTAAGGGAGTAAAATAGGGGATGAAATTTGTATGGAACTTTCGTGAGTTTTGAAGTTAGATGGGTGCACTGGGGGGAAGAGTGAACAATATTAACTCTATCAGGGGCTGAAAAACAATGTGTTTTAATTGTCTAATCCACGCAAGCGGAGCTGCGAGCAACAGCTATTCTAGTGTACTACATACATAAGTTTAAGTTATTTTTGTTGTACCATGGATGTATTCTTTAATTACTGCTGCAGTAGCTAAATGTAGTTCATGATGAATTAATGACTATTTGCTGAAACTATTACCGTGGTCATTAGCAAAAATTACTGGAAATCGGTAATGTAAAGAGGTACACTATTGATAAAAATTGTGGAAATCAGTATGATAGATTTTTGTTTAACTCCAGAATAGATCAAAACTTACGATTTTACATTATTATTCAGTTTTACAAATAATTTTTTGTTACATAAAAATGATAATAACCAATTTAACAAATTCCAGGGGCGGCTGATGCCAGGGAGTACAAGGGCACGTGCCCCCCCCCCCCCAAAATTACAACGTCTACAAACACACTGGACATAGTAAAGTAGTAATTTTCAATATTTAAAAAATTGTCCGGAAAGGTGTGTCATAATTATCAAAATAATTTTTTTATCTGGCTCCATTTATCTAAAATGTATCAAAACATACATTTAAAGATGTTGTGTCTTGGATATATATGATGTGTTGCTGCAGCGCTGATAAAAGCGGAGACCAAATCATGGCTCATTTAGACGTTTTGTTTAGACGGTTGCCATGGAAACCGTGCGTCTAGTCGCTGTACTTTTTTAGAATCGGGTCCTGCTCGAACAGTGACCACTAGCGGTAACTCAACTGCGGGATTTGAATTGTTTGGTTTTAAATAAAAATAATGAATTCAGTTGAATATTTAATAACAAATGGTCCTCCGTCTTACGACGGTAAAATTTTAGTGAAAAATTTAGGGAGAGCCAAAAAAAAAGTGTTCATGGAAAAATGAGAGGCTTTTATAGATATTTTAATAGACATAACAAGCATGGTAAATTTTTGTGGATGTGTGGTTGTGAAAAAATAATATTTTCTTTACTTTTATTGAATGTAATTAATAACAGCCTGTTTTATGTCGTCATATTTAACTCATCAGTCAAATTGTGTCTCCCCATTTCAAAAGATACGAGCCGCCACTGACAAATTTTAAAAAATAATAAAATATATAGTTGATTTTCCTGGACAAACACCATACTGAGCAGAATATCTATGTTAATGTTGACCTGTAATTTTCATTTTGTGTCACTTTACCTTATTTAAAAAGCGGTTATCATGTTAGCCGTTTTTAAACTGCTCAGGAAGACTCCTTCATTCACTGATGTTTTTATTAAAAGAACCAAAGGTTCACGAATTGCAGGCACCACATAAGGTATTTCTCACTTGTAGCCGTAACTTCTTCGATTCTACTAATTTTTTTGTGAATTTCTACATTAACCCGTTTACTTCACATTCAAAAATTAAATGAAAGAATATAGCAGGCTATCATGGATCCAGTTGTACAGGATATGAATATTCTTGTTCCCTAATTTTCTTCAGCGTTTGAAATTAGTGTCTAAAAAAGTAGTTACATAACATCAACTATATCCTATGCTTTCGTTGTATAGAGTAGTTTGTTTAAAATTCTGCTGTTCTTCATATTGTTACGAAAGAAATCCATACGCCGTCCCGGTACGACGCCTATGGGTTTTAATATACGGCGATGATGACTCATCGCGGCCGGACGGCATTCGCCGGAGAAGAACCTAGAAGCGGATGTCGCGACGGGTGTTCGAGAACAAGCCTAGAAGCGGTGATGGAGACCTTCGAGAAGGACCGCGCGGCTGTTTAAATGGGAACCACCGTCGGGAGCAGTCAGTGTAGTCCAGACAACGAGAGCTGAATTCAGTTAACAAGTCGAGTCCAACGAGTGTCGAGAAAACCCAGTGCATGTTGCGCCGGAATTATTTTGTACATAATCGCTCGTGTAAATCCGTGTTACTAAGAAATAAATTGTTGAGTTTTACCCACGCCGATTTTAAAAACCCTTCCATCGTAACAATAACTACGTAGTTTTGAATTCTCTATCTTATTCTTGTAGTAGGTACCTCCATTTAGCATCATTTAAAGTATTGGTTGCGGTATTTTTTTCCGGATGGCACAAGTTGGTTGGATATTTTGGTTAATGAAAGTAAATGATAAGATAAAAAACAATAATTTTAATTTTATTTTTGAGATTTCTTGGATTTTTCAAACAAAACCTGAGAAGCAATAGCTAAAAAATATTATTTAAAACTGTCATTTAAAACTTACAATGTTAAAGAAGGAAGACATTAAAACAGATTTGTGGAAGATAAAGAGCAATTTGTGTTGTTAATGATATGTAACTGCAAATACACTGTTTATTCTGGGACAATGAAAACAGTTAACGTTATCTACATTCGTAAAATATCATGTTATTAGTGAACATGGAGTGACAACGAGTACTAGAATCATTTGTATATACAAAGAAAGACCAAAGCCAAAAAAATACAGGCAATAATTTGCACAAAGCTTAAAACACCTAGTGCTTGATTATAACGACTTAACATAATCTAGCCCCATTATCTTCTAGGCCCAAACTAATTTTACTAATTATTAATTTTTTATAGTCAGCTTCCCCCAGGACTTTTTTTTCTTCAACGGAAATACGAGTCATACTGACGCAATGCTTTTTTAAATAACTCTAAGCTTTCAAAGTTATTTAAAAATTTAGCTTCACCAACTTAACACTTTCATCTAACTTTAAGATACAAAGGACAACATCTGACGTATCAAATCTACCGCATTTGAGAAAAGTAATGTTTTCCTGTGATCCAGTGATGATGTCCTCTGATTTTGCTTACTACCTTCCACTATCTTCAGTCAGAAAACGGAGAGTTTCAATTCCTTGGGCACAGACTTTTCAGTTTTCCGGTAAACAAGGAAAGGCATGCAAAGGAGCTGAAAATCATACAATGGATTTTAAGTATATGGGTACATCGATATTATTACGAATAAGTTTAAATTTAAGGAATTGTTCTTTGAATATTTTGCTTGTCAAAAAGAAAAGGTAGATTTGTATTTTGTACTATATTTTCAATTGATTTCTCACCTGCTAAGAGTTGGAAAGTTTTCAACAGACTCGCTGGTAAACGGGCTTACATTTCAGGACTAGTCATCAAGGGCAACGATATTAACTGTAAAACTGCAATAAAAAATATGGTGGGTAAATGAGAAGGTCTACATGAAATGTGTAACATAATATGTTTTTTTTAGTGCAGTATAATAATCCAACCCGTTTTTAATTTTACACATCCGAGTTGTCCTAAAAAAAAAAGTTTGCATACTAACGGATTTCCCAGAAATTTGATGACATTTTAAAAAGTTAAATTAATTATTATTGAGTAATGCGAATATCTCAAAAAAAGTTTAGAAATTGGACGGTTTTTTTTGTGCTACGTGACGATTTCCTCATGCATAGCCTTGCAATTTTTCTCAGTGATTTTTTTAAATTTTCTATATTTGATTGATTCGAATATTGAAAACATTTACTGGATTTTTGACCTGTACTATATTTTTTTTATAAAATTTATTTTTATGTTTATAGTGCCATGTTATAAAACCTAAAATGGCATGCAAGTATCGAAAAACACTGAAATATTTTTATTCAAAAAGTTGCTTGAGATACTTATTCCGATTCCTTTAAAAAAACTACGTTAATAGTGCACTGGTATGAATGGCGGAAAAAACAGTAGGTATTCTAAAGCAGACTAAAACATATGAATGAACATGAATACGTTAAGAGTAATCACAGAATGAAGACTAGAAAAATGTCAGTTACAAATAAAAGTTTTAAGCAAATGTTTTTAAAGGAATCTTTGAATGGCTAGATATCTAATTCAGAAAACCGCAAGAAACAGTAACTAGTGAGTTCTTGTAAAAATAAGAAAACATCATAAAGATTGCTAATGGGAAACATTTCAAAGAAACAATAATAGTATGTTGAATGTGTACCAGTTTATAGGAGAAGATCATTGACAAAATCATAAAACAACGTAAAAGTTCATAATTAGAACTGTAAAGAAGTGTAAAGCGTACAAAATTAGTACAAAAGGTGGGAAAATATAAATCGAGAAAATAGATATAAATACAACTTTTTCTATTTATAACGTTTGAAAAATATTACTAAAAATTAGACACCAATGAAGAGAAAAATGACGAAAAAAACACATTTACGAAATTTTTATGAGTTAAGAGAAACGAGAAAATCGGATGTGCTGGAATATTTTAGAAAGTTGTATGAAAATTTTAAATTTTCTTTTGTATAATACCTTCACATAAACCTATATTGTTGCCCTACAGTGGGTGTTAGTACTGTTTTTCTATAATATAAAAATTCATGATACGAGAACATAAACGATGTCACTTTCTGCCATATGAAAATTTATGACTTGAGAAAATTTATGAATACTCGACTCAAAAGTGTGTCATCGATCGACTTTTGCATTTCATGAAATCTGTAAGTTTTCTGTTACTTTTGCGTGCATAATAAAGTCTGAGTAAAGTAAGTAGCCGTATCATTAATGTTATTCCAATAAAGTAACTGATTTATTTGGTATGTGCCAGTACTAAAGTGTAATTAATATTATTTATTATATTACTCATTGGCATTACTCTTTCTCAAATAAAAAATATACTTTAAACTAATGTATAAATCTAATTTATGACCTATTACTTCTCCATTTACGGGGTTTATATTTCTTAATAACAAACTATAAAATAGTTATAAACAGGGCACTGAAATTTCGAAAGTATCCACATACCTAACATCCGTAAAAATAATCCGTTCCGTATCTACACACAAGTGCAAATGGTTTTTTGTTTGAGCATTTATTACAATAATTATTCAGAGTTAGTAATGTTAATTTAAAACCGCAGTTGTTCACCTAAATTGTACTCAAGTCTCATAGTTCCGTAGCTAGAATAATGACTAGCATTTAGGATAATTATATATAATTATATATAATTTAAACCTAATTAATAGTTATCGGTATGCAGCGACAAGAAAAAACTTTTTTTGCCACTTTTAATAACGAGAACGACAGAGTAAATGCATTAATGTTGTAATATCTTGTACAATTATCTTGTAAGTGTGTTATTAAATGGTTCACACCTCTTACCAAATCAGGTAGCATCATTAAAGTAGCGTAACAGAATATTTTTTCTATTTTATTAAGACGTATCGATCTTTATTTTACATATTCATATCGTATTTCACTACCGTTTGAAAAATTTATTTCACCTTTGACCAACTTACAGGACCGTTAACTTTTTACGTGGAAATTTTATAGCTCACAAATTTCGTACAACCTGCGAAAACGGCAAAATACAATAAAAGGATGTTTGATAATGAACACTGAACCTCCTTAGAGCAGTTTTTATTGTTATGAGTATTATTATTGTTATTAGGTATGTGCATGCAGAGATAACAGGCTTTAGAAGCAGCGTTACATCAATAAACATTAAAGTTAATGTTTGATAAATCGTTTTTATTAAGTCTAAAAGGCATTCCTCGGGTCATTTAAAAATCAAACTTCAGATGGAGGCTTCTACTCGTCCTTTTATTCTCTGGATGCTTTTAAATTACACTTTATGAGTATAACAACACAATGACTGCAATTAAAACCCCATATAATTAATCTTTTTAATAAGAATAAATGAGAAGCGTAATGGATCTTAAATCTTCTCCGTAGGAAATTACGGATTAAAGCGAAAAATCTGTAAAGAAATAGGAGCGGACAAGGAGAGATTACATTCAATTTTGGGAGATACAATGAACGGACAGAATGTTTGCTGATTGATAAGGCCGAAAATAAATCCAAAAGCTATTTTTTCTTAATGCGTTTTATATTTTACACACACGCAACAAATGTCTTATGTCCTGGCTGACAGCATCAATATAGTCTTCCCATATATCTATAAACACGGCGTATATTTAAATAGAAAGGCCGAACGAGAATTTACAACAATCGAAAGCTATAAATCAAGTGGAAAATATTGCATGGGGGCGTACAGCAGTAGTATTCGGATAATTTAAACTCTTTTTTATAATCAGGGCAAAGGAGCTATTATTTTGATTAAAAAGATATAATACCGGGTTCTACTAATTACACTTTCATCGATGAGGTAACAACACACTTTAAATTGCTAGGTGTATACGGTTGTCTTGACAATAAAAGTAAAAGGAAAGAAAACGGCATACCCACTTGCAATTTTTATAAAAACTTAATGCTAGATGATTACAGTATTTGGCATACTTTTTCTTCTTCGCAGATATCTTTGTTAGACTGCATCTTCGAGTAATTCCAGTAATTTCTTTTAATAATAGCGTACGTCATAAAACAGTTCGGTTAATTTCAGCTAACTTCTTAAACAGCGATTAAAATTTACATAAACCTCTACAGTAATTTAAATGTTAAGTACGGTTTAATTTACAGTGGACGGACGGTTAATACATTGATTAATGCGATTAAACACTTCCTAGTAAGTACATTTACATTAGAACGCAGAATTGATGGTGCAAGTCTATTATTGGCGTTGCGATTATTTTAGTTCAGTTAAAAAGGCGGTTTGGGATAAATACGGTCTTTTATATGTCCAATAAAATTTGGAATATCGGTGATGTTTCCGTAAATATAATTCTGAGATATAGGACAGTCGAGCTATTTTTGCGGCCTGCTAATGCATTAGACTGTCGTTACAAAATTAGCAGAATTGCTAAGAGGAGGATGGCTTTTAATAATTTGGAGGTAGGTCACGAGAAATACTGGAAATTCTGAATAGTTGATGAAGGATACATTGATTTTTAAAAGGTTTCGAAAAAAACCGCATTAAGTGCAAGGTTTTTAAAAAAAATATGTGCATATTTGGTTTCTGTTGAAAGGAATCTTTATTCATAATCAAACTGTTCCGGTTGATCTTCTCGGCACTTTTTAAAATAATAAAATAGTTAACTTTTTCGTTTCGCTTTCCATGTAAGTCTAGTCTCGAATTTTTCGATTTACAGAATATCCATTTTTTCTTAATGGAATACAAAATCGGTGTAATTAAAGAATAATGTAAATGACTAAAAAGACGATGATATGTCTCTAATGTTACAATGTTTGCTAACTTTTAGTTTTACTATATTTCAGTCCCAACCAATAAAGTCCTAAATAGACCTAGGTAATACGATTTCTAAAGTTTTGCAAGCTGAAAACAGTGGTGACAACCCTGTTCCAAAATTTCCATAATTAACTGACAAGATTTGATTTTGCGAATTTTATTTTTTATGATAACCCTTATAAATCAAAACAAAGTATGTAGTATTAAAGTAAATGTAAAGAAGGGTGTTATGTGTATGTTTCAGGTGATGACGTCATCAAAATTTTTGCAAGAAATCATCAATTGCATCAGTTTGGATAGAAGCAGTGTAATACCAATAATAACACTACTATATTACGAAATAAAAAAAATAAAACAAAATAATTTCACTTGATTCTGTAGCAGATGAAAAACCATATTTATGTAAGACCTGTAAGTGAGACGATAGGATTGAATACGAGCCGTAATGTAAGACCATAAACAGTAAATATGTTCCCAGAATCTCACAGAAATTGGATGATTCGTTTCTAAGATGATTAGTTTATACGTTATCTTTTGAAGACATCCTGCAATTTTGAAAGATAAAACAATATTACTGAGTGCATGAAATACTGTGTCTCAAGTCGTATTTTCAATTAAGATTTTTTAATTATTTTTTAACATGACACAATCAACTTTGTTCAGATAAATACATCCTGTGTGAACAGTTCTACAAAAAAAAAGTATATTAGAGCCGTACAAGGAATGTCGTATCTTCAGATAAATTTTTCAGTATATACATATAGATGTTTTAAAGACGCTGATTTTATTTCTGACAGGAGCATTCAATACTTTTTTGAGTGTGTAAGCAATTTTAGGATATAAAAGCATATTACTGAGGTAATTGTGAATTTCGAGACATGTTTTCCAATAAAGATCATGAAATTTGTAAGAAATGAGTACTGCGACATGAAAGAAAAGTTGATGCAAAACGATGTAAGAGGCGAGATGAAAAAACATATTTGTCCCCGGAAAATAAAGTAAAATATGGTTGGAAAATAATCTAGAGTTAAAATTTTTATTAAAATCACATTTAACAATAAAGTTCAAATTCACGTGAATTTGTATGTATATATTTAGTGTTTTAGATTTTATGTAATTTGTTGTACATTTTGCTTTACTGGTGCTACTCGCAACTATTAATATGCTTAGCAGATCCTCCACCGTCTAATTAATTCTCTACATAGGTGTAGGTAGCAGTTTTTATTAAGTAATCTGGACGTTCAGTTGCGCACAGAACGGCGGATTGGGCCAGCCGACTATCGGACAAAGAAACTTTATATAGAAGAACAAAAGAACTTGAGACAAGCGAAGTCACAAAGTCTGTGTAGATGCTTCTTTGATGTTTAATTCGAATAAGAATATAAGCTGATATTCCTTCAGAGCAATTAAGCAAGTAGACCAAGAGCATAATAGAGATATTTAGGAATATTTTGAACAAGTAATTAAGTAAGATGGTCAAAACGAGGCGAAAAGAAGTGTGAGTTTAGGGAGTTGAAAGACAATAAAGCATCTAACAGTTCAAAATTATGCTGTAAAAAAATTGATTCCCTATTGTGAATGTAAAATCATACACCAAAAGATCATACAGCAAGAGTAAAGTGTAGTTTAGCCTAAGCGTCCCTTGTGTGATGTTACTAGATTTATCAAATTTTGTCATTTTGGACTGTGTTTATTTAAAAAGTACAAGGACAATACTTATTAAGAAATAATTTTTTTTTAATAAAAAATATTGCTTTGGGGAAACAAAGTAGAGCTCAAAAAATAAAAAAATAAAAAATAACCAGTTTATGAGGAAAACAGTGGAAATTGTCTACGGGCAAATTAATATAGTTACTTAGATATTTTTCTATATATACACATAAATCTCTACTAAAAGAGCAATCGAAACGTTTTGCTAGTATAGTCCAATCCAATAATTGTTTAAAGACTCTTTCTGTGTCTAATGGCAATAGACAAAATAACCACAATAATGACGGTAGTATAACACCTTCAAGCAAGTCTTTCGCTTAAAAAAACATTTACATTCATAGAAGTCTGATTCTAAAAATTCTATTTTTTATGATAACCTTGTATGTTAAAATAAAAATAGAGATGGATTATGAAATTATTATTAAAGGAACTTTTTACTGGGCGAAGAAAATACACATATCCATGGTGATTTAAAAATCCCACCCTAACTCAACGGCACTTTATTTAGTTCAGAAATCTCAGGTCGAAAACAATTATTAAAATTTATTATTTATTCTTGTAACTCACTTACAGAAACAAAATATCTGTGAACATAGATATATTTAAAAAAGTGAAAAATTTGCCACTATTCATTTCAAATATTTTTTAAGTTTTTTTGTGATATATGTATATATTATAAAAATAAGAAAAAGATATATAAAATGTAAAAAACGATAAATAAAAGTTATGATACTTCCAACGAATTATTTTGAATGATGGAAAACCGATAGATATGATGAAACACCGAAAAGAAAAATGAAATTTTGAAAGCGTATGTCTTGTATATTTGGGTATAAGAATTTTTAAAATTATATTTTCTTTGCTCAATTAACAGTTAACAACGTGTTCTAGAGTTACCGCTCTATTTGTGAATCACCCTGTAGAAGCATTTAAATGTTTGTATATGTACAAGTAGCATGTTTTTAAATGGAATAACATCCCATATACACATTTTTACAGGTTTTGATCTCTTACACAAAAAAAAGGAAAAGAAGCGAAATTTGATGATACAACGGTTTTTAATTAACAACTTTTAACATATTTGTATTTTTATGGAAAACGTGGAGATGGTTCTTTTGATACCGATTTATTTTTGTTCATATACGGAGTGTGACATGCGCATCGTGGCCAACTAGAGCAGAAATTTAAAAAATCACACCGTACTTATATGTATTGTATGTAACTGTATATAATATAAATTATCCAAATGAAGAAACATATCTAAGTGCCATATAATGTCATAGAAACAGATGTGCAAACACAGTTATACCACTACAGTTAAATATATATTTACATCAAAAATCTTTGTTGTCTTCGAAAAGGGTTGAATTTTTTAATTTTGAAAATATTATTATGAAAATTGATTTAATGGAAAGCTCACCGCCCAGATTTTTACACCCTTGGTTTTTTATGGTGATGCATATAATATTTGGGATCTTTACGTATT